TCATACCCATAGAACGATAGAGAGGTTTTTTCTAGAATTCTATCGTGTTCAGAATCGTTAAAGTACCGTTCTTATTAAGCTATTTTTTACCGTTAAAAACCAGAAAGTCGGCAGCCGACAAAGAATTGCTCGTATTCGATTACGCCAAGGACGAAATGCGGTACCGGGAAGTTATGGGATAAAAGTCCGTTTTTCTCGTAACATACTCCTAAGGAAATGTTTTGCAAGCCACGAATAAAACACGTGGGAAGCCCAGTTGACAAAACTTGGGACAAACGAAGAAAAAAAAAAGCGGGAATCTCTACGGTTGTCGGAAAAAAGACTGGTGACCATGTTCTTGTTATATTCGTTAATCTAATTCATAAAACCTACGAATACCATAAAGAGGCGCGCGTGGTGCAGTAGCCGGAAGCACCCTGCAACGCACACGTGGAGTTGATCACCTCGCCCATAGCCCAGCCTTCCATCCCTCCGGAGTTGGCAAATTGGTACCAGACTTGTCTTGGAAGATAGCAGCACTGACTCGATACATCGGTAGGCCACTGCGAGTCATTGTGAAGTCCAAGTATGTATTAAATCACCTCCAAACGGTGCTTAATGAAGTCGAATGCATGGCACATCCCTCAGGGATTGGTCAACGCCAAAAGTTTTATCCTTCATTCCATCCTTCTATGCATATCACACTGTATCACACAAACACCTCCATCAAGTCCAACATCGTACTGTTTTCGGTAACGGTAGACGGTCAGCTATTAACATAGACCAAAGTTTTTGTAGTTCAATGAAGTTTATTTTTATTTCTACTCAACACGGAATATGACCATCATAATAATTTATTGCTATTCAAAGTCATTCATCTTGCGAAGAACAGAGAATAACGAACGGGTGTTGATTTTATCCTTGGAATCTTATCTGGATGCTACACAACCTAGGCATACCGTAATAAATTAAACAAGATCAGACGACAATCAATACCTACACAATCAAGAAGTGAAAACCTACTTATTATTAAGCACAGATCAGTTCTCGTTCAATATTTGCTGCGACACCAATATTTAATAGTCAATATTATCGCAAATGCCAATATCACTAGTCAACTATACAATCAAGGGATATCCGTGGGAAGTTAAAAACTACCGAATTCAGACACTGACTTTTCTAACTGCACAGAGTGAACATGGAACACACGTTCCTCATCGGTCACACATCAGCAGATAAGTTTCATACGTTATACGTCATTCGATACTGCACAACCGGGTAACAAAAGTAAAAACTATTATTGGAAGCAGGTTAGAGATACAACAATTTATAAAACTATGCAATAATAAATAAAAATCGACAAAGAAACCTTATGCATTGAAATCGAACAACCGTAAGCTAATAATGGACAGTAGTATGTCGAGAGTATGCGCCTAAAATGACACCAGAGCACAAATTAGTGGCGTATGACGAAAGGCTCTGACACATGCAAAGGTAGTAGTACGCACAAATCACATGGGTACCGTTCTCGGAAGAGAGTACGGTATTCATATGATATTCGTCGAGACACTCGAACCATATGCTAATCGCTCAGTTAACACTCGGCGAGACTTCGTTAGAGACGAGTCTAAACAGATATTGGACGCGTCATACTACACCCACTCTTAGACATAAACAGGACAGTAACGCTGTAAGATGGGAGGAATGCTCATAGCTGACGAACCGATGGAACCTGAAGTCCGATTCCAATCTGTGAGCTCCGCACAAGTGTTTGAATTGAACGTATTTTAAGCACAAGCACGTTCTTTCGACCTTTAGCCCTACTTGCTCTACTGGCTAACTACTAGCGTTACAATCCAACAACGAACATACACATATATATAACACATATCCACACATTATGACATACATACTATTAGCATCGTTCTACATTAATTACCCGTTTTTTCAGTGGAGAATGTGGCACTATTATGGTGACATGAGTTAAAAACTTGGAAACAGATGTGAAGTGATAGAAGCATGCAATGAAAGTAGTGATCATTCAAGCATTGAACATTTCTCGACGGAGCATGTAAGTTACTAGATTTGTCAAACTACAGGCATACTATCGGTTTTAGCACCCAAAAAATCCCGTCATAAGTGAGAAGAGCTCGCTTTAATTGAGAATAAATAGCCAGTGCAACATGGTGGTCGAAAATGGTCAAATTAAACAAGTTAGCGAAAGTAATAACTGGAAATATTTATAAATTCTCTGTCTACATACGTTTTGTAAGATCTCTATTGCTCTGCTTTGCATGGCAAACCAATCAACGCTGCTCTTGCCAAGCACACACCAAAAGATAAAAGAACTTAAAGCGAATGCGGTACTATGACTATGTTTGTTTTGTTTCCGTTCGTTGCAGTGCTGGCTACGCATCGTCTATGAAGGGGATTTCGTTGAGAAGCAACAATGTCGTCATCGACGGTTCACGTTCGGCAAAAATCTAAACACACAGCCACCTCACTACTATTGACCACATCATGACACCACTGCTACTAATAAAACGCTCGGTACTGAAAGAAACATAACACTCTACCAGAACGAACCCTAGAAAACCTACTGATCGCAAATTGGTCAAAAATTTGCATAAATAAAGAACCGAGCGCCTTACTATGGAGTTAAGAAGAAGGATGAACACTACGCACAGGCGTAATGATGGAACAGTTCTCTTGTAGCCAAATTGAGCTTTCATCAAACTTCGCAAGAACGCATTTCAGAGCTAAGATAAAAATGAGGCTACAAAGGATGCAATTTTAGCCAAAATACCCGAAACCACGTATTCTCCACAACCATCACCGCCACCACCACAAAAGCTATCAAACCATAAGTGAACACACGTAAATAAATAACAAAACCACTATGCAATTGTTATTCACGACACTCACATGCTTTAGATGTATATATATACACAACAATGCGAACAGTAGACGGAAAAGTCTTCCAATACAATCAAAATTTCTTTAATAGAAGGTACTCGCGCGTGAGCTGATCTATATGGAGGCGCGTAATTTAGACCTGACCGGATTTCATTTTACTCACGAACTCGTCTTCCTCCTCCTGTAGCGGCTCTCGTTCGTCAATCCTTGCATGTGAGCTGGCAAACAATCGCTCGACCTAATAGAAGAAAACGATGCATTGTTAAGGAGAGTAAATGCTGTGTCAAATTCATACGCAGAGTACAGAAACCGACTAAACATCCAAGTTCGACAATTTCCCTTCTTCTTCCGATCTTCGGTGCAAAAAAATGAATACTAACCTTTTTCTCCTTCTTCTCTACATTATTCCGATGTGAGCTGCGAACCACAGGACGAGGAATGCCAACAGAGACAGCAGGAACGACGTCACGCGTTGTGATGAAGGCATCATCGTCACCAATACTTTTCCGTGCTCTGCGACGAGATGGAGATTGTTTCAAAGCTAAACATTGAATAGATTCACCATGAGGAAAGATTACTTCAATTATACACAGGCTAGACTAATGACAAATCGTACCATTGGAACATAACAGATTCCGTGATTAATGCTAAAACCTCTTCTAGTTTACAAATGTAATCTATAGAGTTCTAAATACATTCCAGTGGAACAACGATTACGATAGTAACCGAAGTCAACGAAAAATCGCATCTTCCAAATAGTAAATATAGTTTGCATCTGCTAACACTTAAAACGGCGAAAAATTTTCTCCAATCAATTTCTATAATATTATATAACGATCAATTATTTCGCACTCTCGAAAGAAAACAATCGCGGTGACACGAGCTACAACACAAACGACTCCGGAAGAACTCCGTATTCCATATGAACATGCACAAAATTCCGCCCTTGTAGTATTCCTGAATAGTGTTCACAGAGCAAAATAATATATTCCCATAAAGAACACCTAATCCACTGAACCACAAAAACATCATGACTTGGAACGTGTCACAAGGCACTCAATAGTCATGCAGGAATTGACAGATTCTATAATATAGCAACACATCAAACTACAACGAACGAGTGAAACTGCGAACAAAGAAAAGCTTTGCTGTCCAATACCGAAAACATCAAACCACAGAAATTTCCTCGCTCCCTCTTCTTTTTATATTCAAGTATGCTGGTTAGATCATAAGGTCAACGACACTGTCGCTTATACAAAACAAAAAACAAACAGTAGTCAGGTAGTGAGCAGGCGAGCGCAGACAACGTTGCTTTAAAATTGAACTAAACAATCATCTACAAGAAAGAACTATTTCTAAAAACCTTTTTCTGAGGGAAAGGGAGCAGACTGAGCATCCATACTATCACGCTTACTTTGAATGCAGAAAAGTAAACACCTTCAATATAGCGAAGTTCGAAGACAATTTTCTATAGGTGCAAAAAAAAAAGTGAAAACGATGCTAGCAACAAACACCACAAACTGACCACACAAAAGCCTCTACGAATGAAAAAAAATTCAAAATGATTTGATGCATGTGCACGCTATCTAGGTAACTTCATAAAGCTCAAAAAAAGTCAAAATAGATAGGAATTAGCATCAAATCACTTGAAAATCTCAACCCCAAACCACAAATGTCAAAAACTTATGTATACCGAGATAGGAGTGAACCAGAGTACGGAATTTGCCGTTTGTTTTGCGCGCATCAGCTGTAACGGAATACTGTTGTGAAATCGATAATCCTTTTTTATTGTGTTGACTTTTTATTTACTGCCTTTTACTAGCTTTCACAGCAGGGTATTATTTGTGAAGCAACCACAACGATAGTGAGATATTTGCAAAACTCCGGACCACAGGTGTTTGCGGTGGGGAACCAACGTGCTACTGCCCTTTCCGGAGAGTAACGCATTCACCACCACATCATGCGGGTTCTTCGTTTCACCTGCCTCTTAGCTAGTTCTATTGATCACTGCCATCAGTATATTCACAAATAACACCCTGCCGTTAAAGCTAGTAAAATGCAGTAAATAAAAAGTCAACATTGTGAATTTCAACTATAGCCTCAGCTTAACTGGGTTCAATGCCGATTTGGGCTCCCCAGATCAATCCCATTGACGGGTGATTGCTGATGAGAGTGATCAACAGAACTAGCTGAGAGATAGGCGAAACGAAGGACCCACATGGTGTGGTGGTGAGCGCGTTACTCCCTGGAAAGGACACCAGCGTTCCTTCCCCACCGCAACACCTGCGGTCCGGAGTTTTACAAATATCTCAGTATCATTGTGGTTTTTTCATTGTCTAAAGATAACTGTGCTGTGTTATGACAATAAAAGAAAACGATATGTCGAAACCGAACTCGGATTTTGGACACGTTTGTATAAAACAATACTATCGCCGTAGTGGAAATGAAAGAATGCGCGACTAATGATGCAGAAAAAAAAAAATTTAAATGATTTGCAACAATCTGCAGGTCATCTTGTGATTTTCAAAATCCAAGACTCCCAAAAGTTAGTCGAATTTTACGAAGTTGAAACAAGAAGAGAAACAGAAGTGACGGGCAAAATAAACCATGCTAAAAGCAATACCTGGGCCTTTCTTGAAAACATGTTCTGTCATAAATGACAGAAACCGTTGAGCATAGAAGTTTGGATTATGGACAGAGATTGAATCCTAAACAAACGTGTCATATTTGCACTTTTGGTTCAGAAACACGTCAAATAATATGTAATAAAAGAAGCTCTTGCAGCAGTACAAAGATTACTATAAATTCCACAAATTAATAGAAACGCATTAATTGCTATAAATTCAATAAAATAACACAAATACAACTTCAATCTAACATAACCACCATAACTATCGTATACTCTCAGCGCATGAGTAGCTTCTTGAAGCCCTTTGACAGCGCGTGTGACAACGACCATGGTGGGGAACGGTTGGTACGAGCTTCTATACCATTTCTACTTCATTTTTATTTAGTTTCTGTTTCAAGCCATCGAATTTCTAGAACACGCAGCAACAATCTCGAGTGAGCTCAACAAGCAGCTCAACAAAGGACAGTTACATTCTAGCAGTTTTTAAATACCTAAAGCAATTCGTTCGTAAGAAAATCCTTCCCACTATTTTTATGTAATGTACCGGGATTGGGCAATATACCAGTAAATTGATGCTCTTGGAAGTTACTACTGATGGTTAAAAACTAACGACATTGACAAAGTGGCCAGGCAAGATTGGAAATCAGATTTTAATCCGTGAGCTATGGTTTTCCTCACAGGCATAACTACGCTTTGCGAATACGATGGATATCAAGAATCTAGCAGGTCTCAGTAAAACCTCCTTCGAAAGCAGCTTTCCACACAGAAAACATAGTAGCGATTTAGTGATACTGACAGACTTCTTTTATTAAAGACCACAAACTCATGCCGTGTAATACTTGACAAAGCCAAATTTTTTAGACAAAGTTGGTGGTGGCCAAGTGAAAGACCTCGTGTCGCCAATTTGCGTTTGGTGGGGTTCAACATCACACTGAAGATGCTCCACATGATTTCATCATAGACAGACATGCATGGTCGACGCTTGTCGTGTTCTCAAATCCGAGAAGATTGAGCCATCAAGACGTGCGATGATTCTTAGCTCTAGCGCTGATATTATCCGTGACAACCCTTACAGCGCATCTAAAATATAGCTGGTATGAAATTATGATTTTTCAATTGAAGCCAACAATGTGCAAATAATAGGAGAAGCCGTTTTGTTCACCCGTAATGCAAAACCTTAACAACGTCAGAGTTTCGAACAACTTTGAAGAGTTTTGCATAATTTTCCTCACATCCTAATAGAAAGGAAATATATTTCAACCATGAAAAAACAAATATTCCGATTTAACACCCCTCAAACTAATTATTAATCGTTAAAACATAAGATATATGAAAGAAAAGCAAACCCCGTCATGCAAGATCGCCTTCCAAGTATGCTCCATCTTCTTCAGCAATCGATAATTTTGCAAAATGTCAATTATGCCTAAAATGAATTACTAACTATAGAAGTAAAATATATCACTAATAACTCGATGTAATGAAAGCGTTGCGGATTGAAAAACTTGAAAATAACATTCTACAAGCTAGGTATGAATATAAAGCAAAAACTAACCAAGAAATAAAATCAACCTATCCCCATTGGAGTTTCGTGCTGGAACACCACCGAGTGGGACAGAGCCCTCGAATTCAGATTGGTCCCAAACAGAAAATTTGGACTGTAGCGGCTTAAAAGGTTATTAAGAAATTGAATGGTAAAACAATTGTGTGAGCACTAAAAGACGTACAATTTCATGCACCCTAGCGCTTATGTAGCATTATCTAATGTAGAATAAAATTGTTGGGAGCGAATAGTTAATGATAGATATGCCGATCGTCACAACCACGTTACTGGTTCGACCTGACCCGGTTTCACCAAGCCCCTGGTCCTTTCGGGACCAGGAGACTAGTATCAGAGTTGTCTGGGAAAATTTCACTCTCTACAATCCAAGTAGGAACGCTCTAACCCGGCTACCTCCGGATGGCAGGGAGAAAACGTCGATCGGTATTCGAGACATTCATGAGAAAAACGAAAATCCTTAAGCGGCAGCCAAATAGACACACGAAAAGTTCGGAGACATTTGTGGATAATAGATACGAGGAAACGAATTAAATAGAGGAAGTGCTGGGATCCGCACAAGTGATGTGAAAGAGGGGTTGTGTGACAAATACGTAAATAGGAATGAAATTCGTGCATTACTAAAAGAAAATAAATTCCTATTAACTTTTCAATAGCTCGTTAATGGAGTTTTCGAACTAAATTCATCTGGAGTTGTATTCACTAATGGTCTTTCTTGACTAAAACACGGCAACAGATACTAGGAAAGCTCAAAAAGTGGAACGTCGTGAGGCATAGTCAATTGTACACTCACACGTTTTCGCAGTTCATGGTCGCCTTTACTTGTACTGGGTAAATCGCCGACATGTTCCATCGCCTCTTCACTTTCCCTCCTAGTTGTATCGGGCTGACTTCTGCCACCTGATGTTAGCTCAACATTGTGGATCCCGACAAGTAATGAGTAGTCCATGATTTTAAAACTTTCAAGAACCTGAAATGTATCTAATTAAAAAAAAATAACTCGTACAAGATAAACAACTTGCTGTCCAAAAATAGCTTTAAGCAGACTTACTAAGCAATCTCGACTTATTGTTCGTATTAAACTGTCGTACGAAACAGGGTCCATTGATAATCCCTCATTAGGGTGATTTTCGATAAAATCTAGGTCTTTCAATGTAGGAGACACCTGGAATAAGCATTGAATGAAAAGTGTAAACCTGCCGACTTATTAACACATACAGCCCTCGCCAATATTTCGCTTATGGTCGGGTGCAATGGTGTTTAGTTTTCGAAGGTGCGGGAGTATTTCTAACAACTAAAGTACTTAAGGAGTGCAGAACTTAAGAATTAGAAAAGAAGAAGAAAGAAGGAGAAACAGGAAAATCTCGTTGAATCGCTCTAAGAGTACACATATTCTTTCTAAATAAGTCTTTAACCAAACTTGTTCAAATTCCCAGCTTTTGGAATATCGAAAACGAAATCTTTTCCTTTTTGAAAAATCTTGCCCAAAGTGGAGCAGGTGGGAACACAAATGAAATTGGGAAAATGAAGAGAAAACTGCACATGCCACTGCATGAAATCGCTATCATTCGACTTCTTCCCTGTTCGAAATTCGAGCCTCTACAAAAAGAAGAGAAGAAAGGTGGTTCATGTCCTGTAGAAGACTAGAATCTTATTGTAACAAAGAACTGTGCAAATCGTTGGCAAATATCTGCAGACTTCAACGATTCTCACTCCAATTAATGAATTAATTCAATATTAGCCACATTTTTGAAATGTAAAAGGTCAAACTATTTTTCTAATCCTTCCTCAACGTATGATATGTGATAAAATGATACCGGGCCGTATGTGTTAGAGTATTAGAAACTATTGGAAATTCAACCTACTTTTGCCCTCTCCGATTTCGATGCTAAACGCTTGTAAGTGGACCCTTTGAGATCATATTTCTCATGCATTGTTACATTTTGGGGTAATAAATTGTTCATGACTAGCAGGCGAATATTCTTTCCCAAACTCTAAAAACGGAAAAAAAATCAACTTACTCAATACGGAAAAAACATGGAAAAAAATATCGAGGAAGATGATAAGTAAACTCAATAGGTTCATGCACCTGATAACAAAACAATCCAAAGAACTTCGGCAACAAGGTCTTCGGATTTTGTTGGAGATTCTAGAAGATCGGATTAAAGCAAAGAGAAACAAGTAATGATTCAAATATCACCAAACAACAACATATCAGGATCGAAATGAGTTCGCACCATATAATAACCGGGTAATAGCTTTTGTAGAAATTCCGCTTCCTTATGTTGCACGGTTTTAATAATAAATTGATCATCTTGAGATACATAAAAAATTGACCCGGATGCACCGGCGTTCGACAATTCTCTAAGCGGTTCCGTACACGTTGACCTCTAGAACGCGAGCACATTAAAATGAAATCCACGCTGTATTTTACGAATTCTCTCGTTTACTCAATCAGTGATGCATTAAAGTGGCTCACTCACCAAAAAATCTACAGGTTTGATATTAAAAAGTTCTCTGAAGTAACGAAATGCAATAGGTGCATAGGTTTTGAAACGAAAATCTCCAAATGAATGCGATGGCGTTGTTGCTGATCCAGCCCTGAAAAAACTCTGAGCCTCAATGGAAAACAATACGGTGATTGCTACTGACAGAATTTTAGATCGAAAACCAACTATTTCCCGATACAAATTTTACATCAAATGACCACGAATCTCTCCCAAAATTACACCAACGCAGGGATATTTTTACTATAATAGAAAATCACCAAAACTGTTAGGAAACTAAACGAAGCACTGCATTAACACCGTAACGACCTCAATTTAATTAACGACAGCTTATACCCATAGCTCTCAAAAATTTTGGAAACTCGGAGAAACCTTTTTAAAAAACTAAGCAAAAGCACTCAATTCAGTCAGATGAAGAACCCTCCAGACATTTTTATTATCGGGGAAACATGGGCAACTAAATTTTAAAAACTGCCAGTAAGATCTCCTTCCATTTGTATCATGGGCCGCACCGTTGATCGTCGAGTGACTCAAGCACTCAAGCGAGCGGCAATAAACATTCTATTTTGCCCAGTTGCCTGCAAGAGTGGCCTAGTCCGTCCTGCTCGTCCTGGAAACTCGTTGAGCACCATACTTTTCTTTCAGGGTTTTCGTGCAGAACTCTGACCACTTGGGTCAGTGATCTCATTGCAGTACGCTTGACATCTCCAGGTATCTAGTCACTAACAACTTTTGTTCTCCAGTTGTCATCCTGACGCACTACGCGTCCGGGACATCCAGTGATGAACTTGTGTCTACAGATCCGTAAGGCTAGACCAGCCATTAGCTATGTAGACGAACCAAACGATAGAATAACGTGCCTTTTATTCTAATGCTTACTCAGTTGCTTAAACGCAATCCAGCCCATCTCACGAATACCAAAGCGTTCTTGGATTGTCAACGTAATGAGTTCTCGACAACGCGGACGTGATCGAGTCCTTCGAGTTGCCACTCTTTATACAAACGTGTCGAACGACTCCACTATACAATCCATCATCAAACTCCCTATACAACACGAAGGAGTAGCAAACATATAAGACTTCACGATACAGCAATTGATGGCACTCCTAAAAGAATGCCTAAACTGTTCAACCTTCAGATGGTTCAGAAAGTATTACGCTCAAATCAGAGGGTTAACAATGGGACAGCTACTGGCAACAAGCCTTGCCATTGCATATATCTAAGGTGGAAGCACCAGTAACCGATCTACGGCCACTGCACTTAATTACTTCGATACATGGACGGCCCGTCTCCACTTATTGTGTGGACTCAAGCATAATTTCTACTTTTTCGGAGTTTTGCAAACGGATACGAAATTGCAGCTCCTCGGATAGGTATCACCTGTAGCCCCGTTGATCCTCGAGTGGGCTCCAGTAAATCTTCCATTTTCCCTGTCGCGTGCAAGAGTAGCCCAGTGAGTTCTGCTCGCTCTAGGGACCCGTCGAGCATCATATCTTTCTTCAAGGCTCTTTGTGAAGAACTCTGACCGTCGAGTCGGTGGTCTACCTGCAGTACGTTTGACATCCCGAAGAATTCAGTCACTAACGGCTTTTATCCATCGATTGTCATTCATACGCATTACGTGCCTGGACCACTTTATCTTCGACTGTTTGGCGTGCAAAACGGCATCTATAATTCATGATCGTTGACGGAGCTTCGGATACTATCGCTTACTTGTGTGAACCGGGATACTCCTAACATCGTCTTTTCGACTGCGCGTTCGATAACGCTGAGTGACCTTTCGTTCTCCTTAGGAAGCGACCAGATTTCTGACGCATACATTAGGGCAGGAAGTACCGTTGATTCGAAAAGGTGGGTACGGAGTCGGGTGTTTTTGTTCTCCTTACTACATCCGCGATGCTCTTGAAAGCTCCCCAGGCCGCTCGTTTCCTTCTGCTCAGCTCTGGAGCAAAGTCGTTCATCATACTGATTTCCCGACCTAAATAGACATAACTGGAGCATTCGGAAATATTCGTTTCGTTGAGCATGAATGACGCATACGAAACCAATCTGTTCCTTATGAACATCGTTTTTGTGAGATTTAGTCGAATACCAATCTTTCCGCAGGCTTTATGAAAGTCGGCAAGCATGCGTTCCGCTTGGCTAATATTTGGTGTTATAAGAACGATGTCATCAGCAAAGCGAAGATGGTGTAATTGTCGAACTCCTATTTTCGTTCCCATGTTCCAGTGTTAACACCATTCCAGTGTTAGCATGACGTTCTCCATGGTGGCGGCAAACGATTTTGAGGAGATGGTATCGGCATGCCTAAGCCCTCTTTTCATGTCGATGTTAATATCATTGTAGAATGGTGATATTTTAGTTGAAATTTTTACATAGTTCATCAAATGCAATAGGGACTATCTATGGAGTAGGGACGCCCTCGCTGCCTAGGGTTTCTATGACTGCTTCTAGCTAAACTTAATAAAAAGGTTCTTTAAATCGTTGGAAATGAGACAGAATGGTCTCTCGTACTTTCGTTTCAATGTATCTTGTTATCCTGTGGATGTGGACTACCGTACTGAATCCTTTTCGAAACCCCGTTTGCTCCCATGGCTGTCCTTCGTCCAGTGTTCTGTCAATTCTGTTTAGGATGGTTCGAATGGAGCTTGTAGATGACAGAGAGTAAGAAGACTGGGCTATAATTCACAATATCGTGAAGGTCACCCTTCTCGAACAATAGCACGGGCATGATGGTCTTCCGTTGACCAGGGACCTTGCATTGAGACAAGTAAAATTTTATCTTTTTTATGCTTTTCCTGGCCTCTGCAGCTTCGATCATTACTGCTGCTCTTCTCTCTTTAAGATCTCCTTCTAACGCATGTCTGAATTATTTTATGAGTTCGTATGTGCTGCCGTTTCCCTGTAGCTCGTGCGATCCCACAATGTTGTATCATCTCGAACGTTTCTGGTGACAAACGTGTCTTAGTGACTTTCGAACTCCCAGCTTTCACAGCGATGTTGAATGAATCGATAATATTCCGCGTCGATGTTATGAAGAATGGCACCTTTCCGGCTAATGAACTGAACAAATTCCACTTCATGGTGGTTTTGGGAGTTCGTTTTCGAGAAATGAAATCTTGCACGAAAGAGGCGATGGACTTACACCGCGTAATATGTTCGAAGAACAGCGACATCGGCAAGGCAAAGCCTAACGAAATAGACCACAGTTTATTTCGCTATGGTACTCTCCACTGGAAAACTCCCACTTTCCAGCGTTGAGAATGGGACCTCTTGAATTGCTAATTACCGTGATCTTGGTCGTTATGATAAAGTCAGAGAGGCGCTCACCCTCCTTGTTCCATTCTAATCTGTATGCCCAAATGAGACGTTCTTTTAGGTTCAGTCTTGCCTTAAAATCTCCACTGATGAGCTTACGGAATGTACGGCCTTCTCCTTAGGATTTTTCCAAGTGCATATAGAATGCTTCCATTCCGTCTTCGTCAGTGAGAAATATTTAGGATTAAGTGACATGTAAAAGTGGATGCAATTCTGAATGGGCAGCGTTCCAGTGCAAATGTGCATGCTCAATAACGTCATATAAGAAAAATTTTAAAAACTCACGCAGGAAATGCTACATTTTCGATTTTTTCAAAGTCTTGTAACAAGAGATCTCGATCGGGTCGTGATGCGAGGCTACCAATGGAGTTCGCGATACCCAGCTGGATAGCGCTCATCAACGCATTGGTAGGTACCTTTTTATAACTGACCTAAAAGAGACTAAGGATGTAAAAACGAGACGACTGAAGTGCTGAAGATATTTTATAACAACTGCTATTAAACCTTCATGAAGAGTAAGACAAAGAAAGAGGTAGAGGGTTAGAAAAGAAATGGTGCCTCCACCTAGCTTGAACGAATAGGAAAAAAGTCTCTACAGCAAAAAATAAACGGGACTATTACACTGGTTTGTTCTCATTATATCCAAAAGTGAAAGGACTACAACAGTGCATTGTACCAAATTTAATAAACACATGATGCTCTCAATAGATGCAGTGAACATCTTAACATATTCCGTCCAAACCAAAGAAGATGATAAAGGAAGGAAATGAGCAATTTTCTAAATCTAAAAATAAAAATCTGATCTAAAAATAAATCTGCAGTAATGTGCTCGTTGCGATCACTAATGACAGACCCTGTAGCATGAGAAATACGGCGCACTGGATCCTAAGAACCTTAACAAATGTTTCTGAAAGTGGAAACGCTCACCTCTCCTTGCTCATCGATACGACGATGCCCAAGTTTCTGTTTCTCGGTCGGTTGTTGCATTTCGCCTCGATCATCGCTTGCTCCGGGAGCATTCTAAAAAATGAAGATATCGAAATGACGCCTTTCGAGCTTTCATACCTTCTACTGAGAAAAACATCAGGAACCAGTTAATATTGTACAAACGAACCGATTTGTAATTTACTACCGCTGCTGACATTTGATTTGAAGATCTTCGAACGCATTTAATGGATTAACATACAAATCTAAAACGTTAACGATATGAAACAGCCACACTGAAATAAAAGAAAAAAGAACAAGACCACAAAAGGACTGTTCTGAAAGTGTTGAAAGTTGGAGAAAAAAAATGTTCAGAACACTCAAAAAATGCGGAAGAAAAGGCAAGACTAAAACTGTACGAGAAAAAAAGTTCCGTTTCATTACATCGTATAAGGCCTCAACGGTTCATCAACGCTCTGCTATGGTTGGGATACTACGTGATCAGCAACATCTCTGACGCGTTATTCAAGTGCCAAACAGCAGGCATTTAACTCAAAACATATAACTTTGTATTCACTATTAATTATTCTTTCATGGGATGGTGTTATGCGAAATACAATCATAATGATGCTGAGATATAATGCAAAATCGGACCCTGGGTCACATTCAAATCCACAATTACCCTTTCCAGGGCTAACCTATTACCCACTGCCCCACTGAGGCCATTGCTTTGCCTTTTTCTCACCCAGAATCTGGGCTCGAATCTTAGTTTTGCAAATATCTCAGCATCATTGTGGTTATGTGCTCATTACTCAAAATACTTGATAAACATCGCTATAGGAGTAGTGAAGTCACAAACATGAATTCCAATTCGATCCCATTAAGCGAGTTCCGTCATATACATTGGGCAAATGATCACAGCATTTAAACATATACTCGGAGTTTTCTGAACAACTAACTGAACAACCATTTTATGGATACGCGTTTACTAACTACAGTCAACTGTTCATGAACACAAAATAAACGAATATAAAATTAGGTGAGAGACAGGCGAAACGGAGAACCAGCGTAGTGTGATGGTGAACGCGCTGGGCCTCGGAAAGGACAATAGCGCGTTCGTTCCCCACCACAGACAACACCTGCGATCCGGAGTTTTGCACATATCTCAGCATCACTGCGGTTAAACGAATATAACTGTGACAATACATTACTTGGAAACAATATATTTTTCTAAGCTTCACTTGATCCAGACACCACGAGATATATCATATACTTTGCCCTATAAATGTCAAAATTTACATGTCGATGTCAATGTCAAAACAGCAATAAACTCGAAAAATATATGCCACAGATGAAGGAAATGGAAGATAGGTATGAACACGACCAGGTTGACAATGGATGGATGGATGGATGTAAAACTAATACGTCATAGGTAACATTTCTAGTTTGCTGAAGAATATTTACAAAATTTCCAAGCACTCCATTCTACGTGAGCAATGAGAATTTTGAAAAATCCAGGTAGTCGTAAATAAGTGGAAGTGGAAGATCACCATAACCCTTAACACAAGAAGTTTTACAGGCCAAACGTGGCTTTTGTACCATCAATTTTTTCTAGCCACGGTCTTTAACTCTCAACTAATGATTAAAACGTTAAGGAAGTTTTAGTAAGAGCAACTATAGAACTTCCATGCAGTACATTCCCTCTGGAACCGCTCTGCTTAGTTCCCTTCTATGCATCGGTCCTCACCCATTTCTACAATTTGACCAAACAACCAGTGTCCTGATATCGATAAGTAGCCCAAAGGATTCATAGGACAGCTGAGGAACTAGAAATGGTTAATACGCAAAGAATGTAGCCCAGAAAAATAGAATCCAGGTCCCGTACGTGACTTGAACCACAGGGCAAGAAGGAAGAGGCGACAACGGAGATAAACCATTAACACTGATGTCTGTCCGGTGGTACCCCGACTACATCGAGAGCACAATATACAGCTTCGGTTTTCCTTTCAGTCCCTTCCTTTATTTAGTTCTGCACGTCCGCTGAAGATTTCACCTTCATATGTGGCAAATATACATCTTCAACTCTTCTTCGTATATGGGTTTGCTCAGTATTTCCTTCCGATTTGTTTGTTCTAGTCTTCTTTCCGCTTTTAATGTCACCTGAACACCACGAATGCTTTTCAAACTGTGGCGATTATGTTGATTAAAAGACATGAGATGAAATTTGTACTACTGCATACGCGACTTTGATTCCATTATGAAAGCTCACCGTATCCGGCAACAGTTTCATGGAAAAGTTCTGCGAAATCACCTGAAACACTCAGGTGTTCTTTTAATCACATCAATCGGTACTTCAGCTAAAGCACTTCAACGTATCACAGGATGGTGGTATAACAGAACACAGTGATAATACCACCATAACACCATAACAGCGCTGAAACTGTAGTGACAATCGAAGGTCGCAGTGAATTTTGTACAAAGGAATCTCAGAAGGAAATTCGATGCACAGAATTTCACAATAAAACAAGAGCTGAAACTTAACGAAAACCCGCGCGGCTGCATTTCTAGCCAATTTCGCCAAGTGAAGGACCAACCATAACTGTCGGCAAGAGGGTTTTACAAAATCGACCCTATCCAGTCCTATCACACATAGCGGTGCTATGAAAATTACACCACAACGATCCCGAGACAACCAATAGGAAAAAAGCCGGAATGCTTGGCTTGACACGCATAAACTATTCCGACACGGAGATCACGGCCCACGACGATCCGCCGTAACCCCAGTTCAGCAGATCAGAAACACGAAGCAACCTCGGTCATCTTCATCTGGCAAGTAATAAATCCTGATTTTCATCATTTCAAGAAGGTGGTGATGGTTGAAAACAACAGTAAGATTGATTATTATTACTACATGAGGGTGATGAAATTGTTTGTTAGTATTACGACACCGAAGAGAAAGGCTATCGGAGTAACACTCGGTACAATACGTATTGATTTCAAAGCACGGTTGGGCATGATCATATCGAATCAAAGGCATTGACTGCAACGCATATCCTTTTTCATTGTTTGTACCTTCGTCTAGGGTTTGAACTCTTTCATCAAACCAACAGCTTCCAAACCATAGTTTTTTCACAACGGCTCGTTTGAAAAACGCCATTCTTTACATATTACAGATTACAAAAAACGGCTTAGGAGACGAGTTTATTTGTTCGCAGAATTCCCACTGATCATGCCGGGTGTAGCTCAGCTAGGATAAGAAAGAGTGGTGCTGGCCAGTAAGGCACTGAGAGGCCGTACATCGAAAGTCGCTACCTAATAGCTCGCGACGGTGACCTGGCAACCCTTCAGCTGGCATGCATAGGTAAAGGTCGTAGTACAGATGCTTCCTCGACGTCATCGGAAGCAGTTGCCCCAAAAGGGCTAGAGGCCCAAAAGATTTCTTCCTAGATTACTGGACTAAGAAACTAGCTGGTGATCGAGAACCTGTTCAGAAGAGAAGTTGAGAAGGTAAACTGGGCATGCAGATGGTTACATTTTTTGATTTACAGACAGAAATCGAGCAGTAGAAAAAGCAGACCTGATTAAATATTAACAAAAAAACATATACGTGGAACAACAATGAACCCATGTCCATTCTGAGAACGATGGACGGATGTTAGGACAAGGAGCCATGATGAACTAAGCCTAAGCCAAGAAACTACCCCAGTCATTACATTTGTAATGGCTTACAAAAGTAATACAAATACAGAGATCAGCGCAAACGGTACCGGGAGGCCGCGAGAATTGTTGGAATGCGCGTCGTCGCGCGCGCGGCACGCACTCCGCCCCTCCCCCGCCATCGATCCCTGATCGGCGTCGCGTCCACTGCGCCGCGCGTCCCGTTCACAGTTTGGTCATTTTTATCATTTCTTAACAGCCAACATGAATGCAACACAACAACCATCCTGCTGCTTTTGTCGAAGCAAAAGGAGACTTCGCAATGACCGACGAACCACATGTCGCCGTTGTCCAGGCGTAGGATCCCCACCAGACTGCGTGCGGATGGTCCTATGCCAACGTCGTTCTTCTGTGGGACTCCTGATGTCCGACGAGTGTAAGTGGTGCTCATGTTACTGAAAAGTTATATGAGGTGTCCTGCTGCTACACGTTCGATTCGTTTGAAGAATTATGCTTGTCACTTTGTTGTATGGTATTCACCAGTCATGTTGTTCAGTAATTTTTAAGATCCAACATTTAAACAGCCGCAATGTACACAACTTCACATCGATGCGCCGTATGGCTACTTGGCCGTCGTCGATTGGTCGGGCGGCACGCCGACTTCGTTGGCCCGTCGCCAAGTGGTCTCTTCACATTCTTTGATTGGTCCACTTTAGATTTGCGCGTGGAATGGACCTTCGACGTGCTAAACGAAAGCTGGCCCTAATTTTTTCTAGTTGTTTTCAACGTGTTTTCGTGTTCTACTGAGGAAGTAGTTTCCAATCCTACCAGTATCACTTTCCGAGTAGAGGTGCACAATTCCTCCTCGGTGCTTTTGGGCATACGTTGAGCGGCACCTCAACGTTGACGGTGAACTCGTTTTGTCGGCTGCTTCAGTTAACAGCTATCGCATTTAGTTCATGTCTTGATGCTGTTCACTTGAATGGGTTTTCAAAAGTGGTCGCATATTTTGATCTGTCGTTTTATGAGTAAATAAACAAGTCGTGCCGTTTCGTTCCTACTATTGTTTTTCTCCTTCGGCTGCGTAAACACCGTTTTTGTTTTAAGATGGAGGGACGCTACGTTCTCGAATTGCGTGATCGCGACCCAGCCACCGTCGAAGATTTGGTACTAGATGGTTGTGAGAGTGCGGAAATTGAGGGTATCAACGACAAGCTCGTAAAGCTCCAGGTCAGTATCTGATTTGTTCTTTTTGAGTTATAGAAACATGTGACTGTCGCCATCTCTTTACAAATTAGGATGCTCGAAATTTGTATCGTTTTGGATTTCATTTAAGAGCGTTACATTTGTTATGTAGCATCGTTCATAGTAGAATTGTAAGTGATCAGCCTTCTTTCTAGAGCCTCAGTATGGTTCATGTGGGTTTGCAAAGCCTGAAGAACATGCCGAAGCTTCCGCAATTAAGTAAGCTTGACATCTCGGATAATAGCATAGCTGGTGGTCTGGAACATGTCGCTGATAACTGCCCCGAACTCCTCCATCTCAATCTTGCGTCAAATAAGTGCGGATCTCATTTCAACGTAGTACTCCTACATTTTTGCTGAAAATCGAGCTTCATGAGATATACTGTTACAGAATCGCGAAGATCGAGGATTTGGAACCATTGAAGAAGATGAAGCTTGCCGAGCTTGATTTGTTCAATAATCCCGTCACTGTTGGGGATGGTGAATACAGGTGCATAAAGCGCAAGCAGGGTTTCAGTGTCAAAAACGCGGTTTAGTTCGAAGCCAGTGGAAATGGTTGTAGTTTGTTGTCTTATGCAGATGAAATACAATTTCAGATCCAAAATCTTTGAAATGATTCCGTCGCTTCAAATTCTTGATGGAGCCGACGTTAACGGTGAAGATGTAGACGATTCCCTTGATGGCGAGGTATTTGATGTTCTTTTATGCTTCACATAATTTGATCGTTTCACGTATTTTTCGTTACTGAAGACTTTCCTACTATGATTTCAATTCACCAGTTATTCGAAAAATGTTCATTTTCGTTATATCTATTCACATACTTTAAAGAAGGGTGTCAATATTATCAGTAGGTGCATGAAAAGATGCTAGAGATTTTAGGATGGTGGCGAAGGTGAAGATAGTGCCGAGGATTCTGGTTCCGATATTGATGGCCCTGGTCTTAGCTATTTGGATAACAGTCAACTCGTAAGTGCTTATAGGTATTTGGGCCATACATATTTCACAGCATGGTGCGCTATTCCTATAATTACACTTTAAGGACGAGGATGAATCTGAAGAATACAAGCCGGAAGATGCAACTGAGGACCTTCCTAGGAGAGGTTTGAAGAGGCGTAATGAAGAAACTAACGGCGAAGAATCTGGTGCAAAGAAAAGAGCTGATGACTAAGTGGAATCGTCTTCTTTCTTCTCTTTATCCACCGTTGCACGTAATAGTTTTCAATTTCGTTTTTCTGAGCACGTGAATACTCATGATGTTGTGGTATCGAGTTTGTAAAAGTGTAAACTTTGTTTAACACATTTTTAATGTTCACGTGGTCACTTTATTAGGTTCTGTTACATACTGATACTATCGGATATCTCGGTGCGGACCTCGCTATCACATGTGCTCCACCTATTTCGTTCATATGTAACATTACTTCCAGTAATCTGTGGCCCGATTGTAACATTTTTGCATAGTTGATGACATCGTCACCTACTGAAGGGGCGCCATTGTCTGTTGATCTTGAGATGAGTTACGTGTTAAATTCTCTCATACTATGATGATCTAGATCTACATATTTCTTGTTAATTTGCGATGAACGTCCATTGAGATCACTGCTTGCATAACATTGATGTTTGCAACGTTGCAATATTGAACAAGGAGGGTTATCAAGATCGGAAACCTGTGGTTCAAATCGTGGTTAGGTATTTACTGTACTAGGAGATGAGGTTGCTGTTTTTGTAAGAGTACAGTCGCAGTCCTCTCAACGGTTTACGGCCTCATCGCAGCGAGGATGTATTGCTGGGTGTCGGGTTGCGATGTACAACGGTAGGATTAGTCTCCTCAGCAGGGTCTCCCAAGATGAAGAGTCCGGCGTTTCCATCAGCAAGGTCAGCTAAAAGTAAAGCAATGCCAGGATCCACTACCGTCCTGATATCAAACTAGTCGTATGGTGGCAAATCTCCCTCTGATTCACTAGAGCGGTGACTGCCTGTGATGGTGACGGCCTAGGGGAGACTTTGGCCTGGCTGATTTCGGGACTCCAAGGAACCACGATAGCTAAACTAGCAAAACTCCGAAAAAGTGGAAATTATGCTAGGGCTCGCACAACCAGTGAAGACGGGCAATCCAGTTATCTGAGGAAGTGAGTACAAATGCATTTCTTGGGCTGATAGTGAATTCATATTTGATCGAAAAAAGCAAAAGCGTTCTTTAAAAAGAGCGGCTCCTTTTACCGGGTGATCTAGTTCTTGAAACTTCCTAAAATTCTCGAAGATGCAGTGTTTACATGGTATCTACATGCTAGAAATTTCAGACTTAAATGTGTAGACTTACACACTCTCACATGTCTAATGTTTGCCTTCTAGAAGAAAAAGAAAGATTGAAAATGTATGCAGATGTCTCTGGACCAATGGAGCATAACAAAGCCCATAAATCTGTGAAGTCTGGAACTCAAATGCCTTGGGTGTTGGGAAATATGTAACGGCCAAATATTAGGCGTAGTCCAACGTGACCGCTAAGAAAGATTGGATGTTATCCCATGTGTGTTAATTGTTGGTTAACTTACAGGTTTTGAAGTGGATAAACCTTTCTCTGTACGGCTGTTAGATTACCAACTGGTCTAGTGTTGTAGTTAAGGAAAGAATGGGATTTTCCAAATGTGTATGAAGTAACGGTACCAGTTATTGCTTTCACTTTTCCAGTTATGGGTAGGCCAAAAGCGTCTGAAGCTGATCCGCTCCGTAAATCTAAACGCGGTCGACCGAGCAAGCATAGGCGTGAGGACTATGTCATCCACACTGGGTTTGACGGACATGCTAATGCACCATGGTCTGTGATGGTGACAGTTTATGATGTTTAGTGTTTACTTGAGTTCTTTGTTGTAATAACACATATCCACTTCTTTCTGGGTTTGGGTTTAGTCCTGTTCTCCTTGAAGTGATGTTCTTTGGAAATTCCATGTCGTACTTGTATTGCAGGCGTAAGACCGTGTCTATATTCAAGCAACCGGTGACATTAGTACATACTTCTGGTCGTGATACAAAGAAGGCAACTGACCAACAACTCAAAAATGGCCTCCTAAGCTCGAGACCTCAAGAGAAACCTGCTCCTGTAAGTATTGTATGGTGTTCTGAATATCTTAAGTAATACGAGCACTTGTTAGTTCATATGTTTTATCTTCATGATCTAATTGTTTCCCAACTGTACCATAGTTTTTCTTATGTTACCGAAGCGGTGATATATACAATACGTTATGTCATGCGAATGTTAAATTTCGTTCGTTGTCTGTGCTTCCGCGTGCCAAGAGAACCAATACCAGCATCCACCACCGTCTTGGTATCAGACTAGTCCCATGGTGACAAATCTCCCCCTGATGAACAAGGGCGGCGACTGCTTGTGGTGGTGACGACCTGGTGCAGACTTTGGCCAGGCTGACCTTGGGACTCCAGAGAAACAGAATGGCCAAACCAGAAAAACTCCGAAAAGGGAGCACATACTGGGACTCGCAGAACCAGTGAAGACGGGTCGTCCAAGTGTCCTAAGTGTGCGCTTCCAGATATATTGACGTGCTAACAACGCGCCGACTTTGCAAATGTGAGGTATATGTTTCGATACACCATAGTTGGATTTTTCTTTTAGGTGATGTGGGCCAAGGCGTTGGAGAATGTGCAGGCATTGATACCTACCGCGGTTGCTGATAAGGTAGGTTTAAATGGAAATTCAGCTTGACGGACACATCAGATATTGTATAGCTGTATTTTAGAATGTGGAATTTACGAATATTTTGAAGAACAATCGTATATATTTTGTTTAGCTTTGATCTTATGTTTTATTTAGTTTTGCAAGAATCTGCTTCGTATAACATTGAAGAGCTGATTATTTGAACATGTGCGTGTTACAGGTAGATGTTAATCATACGGATTATCTTACGGAAAGTTTGCACCTTGCTGGACGGCTAGAAAGAGCAAGTACTATTCTGAATGTACAGGCTGCAGCAGCGACTCTTTTTACTAGCATTCACAATCCGAACCAGTCTGGGTAGGCTACTATTGTAACGATTTTGTTTTTTCCTGGCAGAGAAGTTCTAATATGTTGGTGTTGGCTTCCTTTAAAGTATTGGTAGCAGTTATGCCGAATTTAGAAACATGGCACTAGATCAGTCCACTTTTACAACCTTTTTAATGGTGAATTACGCGCTACTGAGCAGCTTTGAGGTGAAACCAAAGGGCGAAAGCTCACGGCGGCTACATACACCGGCCACTGACCAACCAAGTTTCTCCATTCATCGGTGCTAGTACATGTCTTCTACAGCAAAAGTTAAAATCCACAAACACTGACGACCTCTTAGGCGCCAATGACCTGGGAACTCCGTAGTAGAGCTACCCCATGATTCCACGGCCAGTTAGCTCAACCAGAATTCAACGACGTTCATGAGAGAGTCAAAGTTCTCGAGTGGTAGCCGAATCCATTTGCAAATGCGAAAATCTTCATAGATGACGGATGGAAGACAAGAAACTGAAAACGGGAAGTGCTGGGATGTGGAAAATGTGTTCATTTGGGCAATGTAAGTCTAAAAAATATGAAGCTAAGAGCCAAAATTATTATTCGCTCAGAACACGTAAAACATTTCTGCAAATTTGTTGAGTAAGCAATCCATCGTGGTTACTCCACTCATTGTTGTCAAAGACGATTGTGCTCAGGTTATCACGGAGTTGATATTTTAATATGTAAGCAAATGAAAGAAATATGGATGAAAAAGCTGCAAACTATCAAAGTGGGAGGTATTAAAATACACATTTTTCCTTTTCATTAAGTGGTCATAACACTGCAAGAAAGGCGTCACATGTGAACTCGTTGTCGCAACCCTGGCCTTACTGTGCAACTAAGCGCTTATAGCCTCCATTGTCGACCAACTGATACAATTTTCATTTTCGAACATTTTTTCGGGCAGCTGAATATACTGTCGCATCTGTATTTTCCTCTTAGGGAGTTTATGTACGGATACATATGGAACAAAGGTTTGGCGATTTATTACTATGCGTTTGTCAGTGTTATCTTTTTTCACATATTGGAAATTTTCATCATTAATCTGGATGCGTCAAGTTAGACTTTTTCCACGGTAATCTGGTCCAAAAAACGAGTGGTATTATTTGCCATGAAGTATAGCCAGACTTGAGCTTGCCAAGTGGTTTACTCACGATGTGTGGAAAATTAAAAATGTTTAGGAACAAATGGACTCATTTGTTGGTTATTGTTTGAGCAGTTTCGGAAATTCATTTGTGGTGTTGAGTCCAACTCGAACCATCTGTGAAGTAACTGCCACGACCGACTTTCTATTAACCTCGGCATTGATCAAGTAATTTTCTTCGTATTTTTGTTGAGCAAACGCGAGGTGTTACTATTCTTTGTTCACGATTAAGCTGACATTTCGGCGGATTTCGCCTTCCTCAGAGCCTGGAAAGGTCAAGTTGATAGCAATCCACTCGGCCAGACGCCTCCATAACCAAACAAAGAAACTCCAAACCAAGATTTCAATCACTTTGAACACAGCTTTGCACACTCACCGCTTCCTATAAGGTTTCCATCTGTGAAGTCTCGTCCAATCAAGGACGTTCATCATAATCTGTAATAGTTTATGACGTTCCTTAAAATTTTTGTACGACCCGACGTAACATATTGTGCAGATCCAGACAGTTCATTCATTCCGTTCCTTCCATTGCATTCATTGTTCACAAAAGTGTTCGGATTGTACATGAGTTGTTTGCTCTTCATGAACGTTGTTGAAAGCTGGTCGAGTAGGTTTTCCCTGGAATCCTGGAATAGCTGTACTAGTCCGTTGCGAGGTCTTCACCACACTCGCCAACCTTTGTAGATCGTAAGAAGCGCTTCCCAAATAAATCCACTGCCGGTTTGCACTGCCACCCCAGAGAAGTAACATGCTTGGTTGCCACGGATGGTGTCTAACCAGGACTTTGTCTTTTGGAGGGCATCTCTATCGCTGTTCCACCCACCATTGCTGTTTCTGCGTATTCGCCTAGAGCCATTGGTTTAAAATAGTTCCTTGTAAAACGAAGGAAAACGAAATGGTTATTTCCTGCAACTACAGGTTTCACGATTTGAATATTATAACTCGAGCGTCGTATTTATTCATGGCATAGAAACATCTGTAATAGATGGCTGAAGATGTGCCAGGCTTTTTTCTTGCTAACAGAACTTCGCATAACGTTTGCGATTCAGAGCATTTGGTCAGTCTGTCGAAAAAGATAAGCTGGAGAGTAACTTGCTATTATACGTCAATCCCGATCAACCTCTACTTAAAGTAAGTGCCGTTGTATATATCGTTTAATATCCTTAATACGTTTGCAGAGATGCTGGTTCTTCAAAAACAGTTTTTCGATGACTGAATGAATTGAAAAGTTGAGGAATTGACATATCAATAGAAGAGACTTTGCTGTATCGCTCCAAAACGTGTAATTTTTGTAAACGCCTTTAGTTCTCTAATTCTCCACAGCTCCCAAATTTCCAAAAAAACTAACGAAATTTGAATTTCTAAAGTTTCCGTCGTAACGAGACAACTGCAAAGCACAACGATGGGATCGAGGAAGTAACTGAGTTCTGGTGGACGAAACAGTGCTGATTCAGTTTTAACTTTTTGATTTAGTACCTACTCTTTTTAATGGTAGGGTATGTTGCGAAATATAACTTCTATGATGCTGAAATATTTGCAGAACTCCGGACCGCAGGTGTCTGCGGTGTACAGCTTCAGCTTAACTGGGTTCATTGCCGATTTGGGCTTCCCATATCAATCCCGCTGACGTGTGATTGCTGATGGCAGTGATCGATAGAACTGAGAGACAGGCGAAACAAAGGACCTGCATGGTTTGATAGCGAATGCGTTAGCCCCCGGAAAGGGTAATAGCGCGTTCGTTCTCCACCGCAGACACCTGCGGTCCGGATTTTTGAAAATATCTCAGCATCATAGAAGTTATATTACTGATTCAGTTGTGCCACCATTCGAAATACAGAAACGTTTAATAGGCTCTACGAAATCATAATTTTAATTGTAGTAGTATAAGAAAGCTCGTGTCTTATTGGGAAACACTTGTATGTTCTAGTATTTTCTTTACTGTCGTTTACAATGGGATGTAGAAATTATTTCTTGCTTCATGAGCATTAAAATCAATGCGCGTTGTTGCAAATGGTAACTTCTAGTCAAGATCTGCGTCAACATTTCTCATTTATAATTTTTGTACGCAAGATATTCCTTGCACAATTTGCACCATGTGCGCTAGTACTATGTATGCATAGTTGGCGCGTGTGGTGCAGTGTGAGACGCTCTAAAATACACGTATCGATTCCACCTTCCTGGCCCACCAAGCCTTCCATCCCTAAAGGGTCGACAAATTGGTACCAGACTTATCTGGAAGGGTAGCAGTGCTGTCTCGATACATCGGTTGGCCGCCGCGAGTCTTTGCATATACCAGATATGCATTCAATCAGCTCGAACGATGCTTAATGAAGTCGGACGCATAGCACATCCCTAAGGGATTGATCAAGACCGATAGCTTTATCCTTTTTATCTTTTACTGTGTATACATTATCTTACATTGCCGTTGCTCACTACTATTTTTAAAAAAGGCTTTTAATTGTGACAACGAAGTTCTTTTTGACAAGTTTTTACCTGGACTGCAGTTCCGAAGTTATTGTTAGTTTTCTTTTATTTTCAGCCGATTACCGTTCAACCGGAAGATATTGCAGCACAGGAGAGGCGTGTGCTTGATGCAAGGAAAAGACTTCAGGAAGTGATCAAGCATTTTGGATAATCTCGATAATTTTGTATGTTATTGTATATAATACTCTGCGAAAGATGGGTATTGTTTACGAAAATGTTTCCAGTGTGATTTCCAATACCGGATTTTATCCAACCTCAGGATGAGTAAACAATATCCTGGTGTATTGGTTAGCTTGCATGATGTTATTTTTGCTACGACTAGTTTAAGCCCTTTGCCTTCTCCACAACAAGTGTTTACCCTGACGGTTCTATCAGCAATAAGCCGTCAAATGGTGCAGTGGGAAACAGGTGAGCCCCTGGAAAGGGTAATCAGTGGTTCGAAGATCAACTGGGGTTCTAATTTTTGCAAATATCTCTGCATTTTTGTGGTTGTATTTCAGAAAAAAACGATGGTTGCTTGAAAGAAGCTATTTATTGTGCGAATGGAAATTTACGTTTCAAGGTTCATCTTTTGAAGTGAAAGTGTTTGGTTGAGTGAATTGTTGGTCGATTAAACCCTTCCGTGCTCTGGAAACGACTGAACCGCCGAAACATTGACTATTGTGGATGGTTAAGTTTGTAATGACAAACCCGTACTTGCTTATCAAGAAAACAGTGGATTGTTTCTGTGATATTATAGTTTGGGCGTCCACTCAAACCCTTACTCCGAAGAGGAGTCTGAGTTCCGAACTGTGACATACAAGCTAGCGTTCATGCCCTTGTCAGGCCCCTGTCCAATTTGAGGGGTGCAACATTTCCAGGCATAAACCTAAAAGTGAAACTATGCTGCATTAAGGCCTGAAGAGATGACATAGTCCTCTTATTCAATAGAAGCGTTGAGAAAAGAGGCCACGTTCCTTGTTCTTCGAGGGAGCGAGCTACTTTGGCTGAGTACGACTCGGGAAGAATGAGTGAGGTTCATTGCTCGCTCAAGTTATTGGCTGATTAACGTGGTTAGTGGTAATATATGTCAAGTAGTAAAAGTTAAATCCGTACAGATGCCTTTCTGATTTTGTATTGACAAGCGTTTTTGGATTGCGATACGGTGATTTGCTCCTCGAATTCTTTTAATAATGTTTTAACGTTTTGTTTTCTGCCTTCTATAATTTTCATGGCAGGTTACTAAGCGAAATACAACCACAATGTTGCTGAGATATTTGCAAAACTCTGGACCGCAGGTGTCTATGGTGGGGAACGAACGCGCTATTATCCTTTCCGGGGAGGGGGAGATTTCAACTACAGCCATAGCTTAACTGGGTTCTATGCCGATTTGCGCTCCCCAGATCAACCCCCCTGACGGGTGATTGCTGTGGCAAAAAGATCGATAGAAATAGCTGAGAGACGTGCGAAACAAAGGACCCGCATGGTGTGGT